GGTGGGTGGGGACGCAGGGCTCCCACAGGGACGCCAGCTCACGGTGTGACCTTGGTCCCTGCTGGCGGCCGCCACAGGGGTCCTGGCTTCTCCAGGACTTTTCCACGGCTGCGGTTTGGGCTGAGCTGTTTTCCTGGACCGCGGCTCAGATTCCAGACTGTGGAGCTCTCACACACCCGAAGCCCAGTGCTGCCAAAGCCGACTTTCCTGCAGCTCAGGCATGAAGGAAATTCCAGCAAAGCTGCCCGGGGAGCCACAGGGTGGTGAGATGACAGTGAGGGTGAGCTGGGACCCGGGACACAGCCATGGGGGCTCCCTCCCTCCCGGCGCCCCCAGGTCCCTCCTAGGGCCCCCTGCTGCTGTCCATGCCCGAGGCTCTGTGCGGGCCAGAGCCACTCGCCTTCCCCCTCCGCTCGGCTTCCCGTGCCCTGGCCCGCAGCCCCTTGGCTCACAGCCCCCTGGCCTGTCGCCCACTGCTGGCTCCGCCCCGGCAAGGATACTGTGCTCCCTCGGCGCGCCGGCCTCACCCCTTAGTCCAGCTCCTGTCCACTCCTGTCCACTCCTGTCCACTCTGTGCGCCCCCCGGACTCCCCATGGCCACCTCCTCTGTGCGGCCTGCCGCGCTGGCCCTGAGCGGGCTGGCGCTGCTCCTGCTCCTGTGCCTTGGTCCCGGTGAGTGGGCGATGCCGGCTGAGGGCACGAGTGGCGGCAGCGCGACGGGGTTCCGGGTCTGGGGTTGGCCCGGGAGCCCTTGGGCGGGTGGAGCAGGCGCTGGGTCAGCGGCAGGGTCCGCGTGGTGAGGGGCGGGGCGGGCTGGGAGTCTACGGCACAGGACCCGGCAGGGCTCTGTCGCTGCGTTTCGCTTCTCAAACGTGGTGTGGGAAATGGAGCGCGGGCAGGGGCTGCGGCCCCACAGGGCCGGTCTCCGTGCCGAGGGAGCCCCAAGTGGCGCCGACAGCGGCCCCCACCTCACCGCCCCTCCGGGTCTGCCCTTCCCAGATGCAGGGCGCAGCTGCCCTGGACCCGGCAGTGAGCTGAGCATTTTCAGGACTCGTTTTTCACTGAACTCCTGCCAAGAGCTTAGGCGCCGCTTACAACAGAATCATCACCTCGAATGCATGTGACATCTTGGTACAAAAGGGGGTCTGCAGCGACCCTGGGGCACGGCCACCCCCAAAGCACCGAGCGGGAGCAGGCAGGAGCAGAACATAGCCTCAGGCAGCGCAGATCGGCTGGCACTCTGAGCACGCCTCGCCCTCCTCCGTTGGCCGCGCTGCCTGAGACCTAACTCCACGGCTAGAGCTGATGCCTGGGCTGCGTGGGGGGCAGCAGGGACACGCGTGGCGGGCAGCAGGGACACGTGCGGTCCCGTGTGGGGTGCACCGCCTCTGGTCGGGCCGGGTCCGGCCATGACACACTCTGCTGCTGAGGCCGCAGGCTCTCGGAGGGCCTAAGCCCAGGGCAGCCCCGCTGCCTGCAGTCCCTGGCTCCACACCGGGCAGGTGGAGGTGGTGCCGATGCCCTGGATCGTGTTAGGAGACAGCAAGTGGAAGATGCCCGTGAATGCCATCGCTAGTGCCACAGGACGCACTGTGACCGTGGCAAGGATTTCGTGGGTGCGTTTGTGGGGTTTAGGTTCCAGCAGCTTCCCCAGGTGAGAGCTGGGGACTGAACCACGGGGGGGGGGGTGGGATCCAGCGGCAGCGGGGACAGCGGACAGGGCACTGCTCCTTCTGTAGAGAAGCCGCCTTCGGCCCTGCAGCCCGAGACCCACGTGTGCCAATGACCAGCTGCTAGCTGGGCCCGCACAGGCGGTGCAGATCACTCGCGGCCGCCCGCTGTGCTGACCCACAGCTCTGGTCCAGCGGCCACCCAGCCCTCCAGGCAGACGTGAGGACAGACCCACCTCTGTCCCTGGCCCTGGACCTCACTCCCTAGAGAGTCTTCCCCAGCGTTTCTAAAAATAGGAAATATTAAGGTAAGTTACCTTAACACTTACCATCCCGCCGGGACTCTCCCGTATGGAGGGGGCGCTGTTGTCTGTTTACGGGGCAGAAGTCTAAGCTGGGAGAGGCCAAGTGTGGCTGCCCACTGCTCCCAGGGCCTTGGAGCTTTCCGTCCCACCTGAGGCCACGAGATCCCCCAGGAGTGGCCTGGGGAACCCCGGCACCCGAGAGGGTTGGGGCAGGGACCACGGCTCTGGGAGGGGCGCGGCCAGAGATGTTTAGACTTAGCTTCTGCAGCCCCCAGCACCCTAGGAAAACACCTGCAGGGAGTGTTCGCTGGAGAAGCCAGTTGGTGCCACCCGGCTATGAATATTGTGCTGTTCTCTGTAACTACATAGTTATTTAAACAGGAGTTCTTTTTAAAAAATGAGAACAGTTTTTCCACCTCTGCACTCACCCCCGCCCCCAGCAGGGTGCCTGATCTTATGAGGGTCACAGCAGAGGCTGGCACAGGCTGTGGCTCTTGTTCCCAGAAGCCTGTCCCTTGGCGGATGTGAAGTTCTCTGTCCTAGCCCAGAGCCCCGGAGCTGTCCGTGGCCCGAGAGGCTCAGAGCCCACTGGGAAGGCGGGCACCGCCACAGGCCGGCTCCAGCTCCCGACCCATCTCCGAACACGCTCTGCCCAGCCCTCGGTGCTGGGCGCCTTCTCCCGGGGCATTAGACCCACCCTGTGTGGACAAGCCTTGTGCCCGTGTGTGGGGCTCAGGGCTGCAGTGTGGTCCCCAGCAGCCCACGTGGGCAGGTGCCCTTTCTGGCCTGTCATTCTGTGAGAACAGTCAGCCTGGTTAGAGGCTTTAACAGTCTGACAAATCTAAGGCAAATGACCCCAGTCAGGCTCGGGCACAGGACGACCCGAGCAGCCGCATGTTCTGAGCGAGGGGTGCTGCTGGGCACGGGCAGCAGAAGTCCCAGCCCTGCTTGCTGGAACCCTCCTGGCCCTCGGGTTTAGAGCCCCACCTAAATCCAGGGCAGTGGTCTCCAGATCCTGAACAGCTGAGACCCATGAAGACCCCGTTTTCAAAGAAGCTCACGTTCGAGGTGCTGGTGGGTGTGATCCTGGGGGCATCTGAAGGGACCCATTGCCCCAGGAAGGGGGTGATGGCCGGCCGGGCTTCTGAGAGGACACCAGGGCCAAAGGAAGAACGTCGCTTTTCCTAGGGAGAAACTCGGTCACCAGGGCCCTGCTCAGTCACTGTCACCGGGGTTAGGCACAGGCACCCCAGACCGACTTCCCTGAAGTTCAGGCAGCAGCAAGTGCAACGCTGTGCAATGCGCCCAGCTCCCAGGCGAGGCAGGGCTGCTGCGCTCCCCACGCGCCTGCGGCACGTGACAGTTCAGGCTGCGGGGCTTCTGAGGCTGGTCTGCTTTCTCTCCTCAGGTGGCACAAGGGGAAACAAACTCCAGCGGATGCTGCAGGAAGCGGAAGGTAAACGCTCCCAGGGGATGTGCCCTCCCCCGGGTGGAGAGGAGGCGGCAGGGGCTTGGGCCGGGAAAGTCAAAAGTGACCAGTCCTTAGCAGGTCTGCCAGCCTAAGGGCTCGTTCTGTGTGCGTGTTGCATGCGTGCGCGCAAGCTATTTTACCAGCGAAATACCCTTGCCGGGAAACGTTTGAAGGCCGCTTTCTGACAGCTGTCCACATGGACACAGAGGGAGGAGGAGCGTCACTGCCTCCCGAGCACAACGATTTAGAGCCCGGAAGCTTTCGGGAAGGCGGGCACGGAGCTATGCAGTGCTGGTGCAGGCTGGTGCCTGGCAAGCTCCGCCGGCTCCTAGGGGGGTGTGTTCAGGAAAGCCTTTGCCACTGACCTGGTGCGGACGTGCCCCTGGCACGCATGTGGCAGATGCCCCAGGACATCGTAGAAAGATGTCCTCGGGCCAGGCGGCACTGAGCCTCCCAGAATGTAAGGCACGGGGCCACACGGCCGGGTGGTAGGGTCCTTTTCTCCTCTGGACCCCTGGGGGCCCAGAGCTCAGGAAGCAGCTCTGGGGGCAGCAGGTTCCTGGGTGAGCACCCGGCGCGCCCCCAGCTGCTCACGTCCACCTAGCCTTGGCGGTGGCCGAGGGTCCCGGCCCAGGCTGAGCGCTCAGGCTGAGCGATGCTGTGCGGGGCCGGCCTGATAGCAGAAGTCATCATGACTCGTGGGTGCGCAGCCCATAGTCTTTCCTGAGGTCAGGCCGGGACACAAGTGGAGCCCCTGCTGTACGCAAAGCTGGGTGACAGGCCCCGAAGGGTAGGTGAGGAGCAAATGTTCCCCACGAGTCTGAAGTTCGGGATCCCCGGGGCTTCCGTTTCTCCGTCCTGTGAGGTCTTCAGGGCCTCGCTGAGTCAGGCGCTGTCCCAGCCTTTGCAGCGGAGGGACGGAGGCCCACAGCACAGAGGACCAGTCCGAGAGCACAGCGGCGCCCCCCAAACACCTCCCGCAGAAGAGGCAGAGTGGGCAGCAGGGCGGTGGCGGGAGGGTGCGGGAGGCGGCAGGGTCAAAGCCAGGGTCGGCACCTTCCAGACCCGGCCCAGTGGGTCTGGCGGCTGGGGCACTGTGTGCTTGTCACCTGCCACGGGGAACGCGCCGCAGACACACGAGTGCCGTCCATGTCTCCCTCTGCTCCCGAGTGCACGGGGGGGGGGGGGGGGGAAGGTGCGCCACAGCCCCTGGTGTGGCGAGGGGTGCGCAGGGTGAGGTGACCCTCGCTGCTCCTCTGAGACCAAGGAGCTGCAGGTGACCATCACCCTCTGTGCCCTGCACACGCACAGGGATGCCTGCAGACCCACCATCGGCAGGAGGGCAGGCACGCAGAGAGGGGAGCCCTCAAGTAAGAGCCTCATTTGCCGGTGTGGCCGGTTCCTCTGTCATCCGAGCTCTCTGGGGCACTGAGGCAGGAGGGGCACACATCCCAGCCTAGCCTGGGCAACATAGCAAGACCCTATCTCAAAATAAAACTAAAATTTTAAGAAAGGAAGGGCCGCGCAAAGGCCCAGTGCAAAGAAACATCGTCCTGGGATGGGCGCGGGGAGGTTTCGGGGGGTGCGGTGCAGATGCAGGTGCGGGTGGGGCGCAGGCACGCGGAGGAGTGGTCCCGAGCAGCCTCTGTACTTGAGGGTGGGGTTGTCGTTGCAGCCCCTGCTCCAGCCCAGGCGAACGTGGCCGTGGGCGAGAACAAGGCCAAGGAGTTCCTGGGCGGCCCCAGGCGCCAGCGGCGGCAGCTGTGGGACCGGACGCGGCCGGAGGTGCAGCAGTGGTACCAGCAGTTCCTCTACATGGGCTTCGACGAGGCGGTGGGTCCCCCTGGGGCCGGCGGGGCGGGGCGCGGGCAGGGAGGCTCTGTCAGAAGCGCGTGGAGCTCACGGGTCTGGAGGCCTGAGATGCGTGCTGGTCTGGGGAGAGTTCGTGGCTCATGGTGTCAGAGAAGCACAGACGTCATGGGGCAGGACAGGAAGTCTCCTACAGCTGCTCTGCCAGCCCTTTCTCAGGAGTTCTCTGTCCCCCAAGAGACCCGTGTTTGCCCCTTCCCTGGAGGGAGCCTCGGCCTTGGGAACCTCAGGACCTCGCACCGGGCTCCAGATCCCAAAGGTCCCACTGCCTTCGCTCGGCCACACGGGTTTCCAGCACACGGGCCCGGGTGGGGCCCCCGACACCTGTGCACCCCCAGCACCCTCACCAAGGGACGCCGCCGCCCACCGGGCCAGGTGTCAGCTGGAGTTTCCCAGCCCCAGGGCCGGGCCCGGGTCCGTGACAGTCTCATGTCCCCACCAGCACTCTCAACCGTGCTGTGTGGCTTGCTTGGGCTTCCTTCAAAGGACTCTCCCCTCAGAATAACGGGGTCCGCCTCACATCAGAAACACGAGCAACGAGAGAGCGCGGAGGGGGGAGAGGCGCCTGCGGGGCCGGCTGCGTCTGTGGGGGCTGGGGTGTGGTCGGCGCCCGTGGAGGGCGGGGTGGTGTGCAGTTTGGGGGCCTAGACAGCAGGAGCGCGTGAACCCCGCGAAGCAAGGGGACAGGCCGTCTCCCTCCCCGTCCCAGCTGGGTGTGGCACGGGCACGGGCCTCAGGCGAAGCGCAGACCCAGGGCGCAGTACTGTGTGGCAGGCCCCGCGCAGGGAGGGAAGTTTCCAGAGCTGTGGTCCTCGCGGCTGCATGGAAGGCAGTCGGGGCTGCGCCATACTTCCCCTCCCAGCCCCCGCCACTGGACACCTGGCTCCTCCCCCAACGTCTTTTGCCACTCAGATTTGTTTCTTCCTGCATTGTGCAAAAAGCTAAACACTGACAGCCAATCTGTGCCGGGCTGGCGAGTCCTCACGGAATGAACCTGACTCGCCGTGACAGCCCCAAGGACCGGCACCCTGACGTCTCTGCGGCGTTGGTGCCCTGGGGTCTGTGTTCCCCCCGGGGGTGAGTGTGCAACGCCACATTCCTGCCCGAGGGTCCGGCAGGCTGTCGGGCGCAGCCTCCTGTGAGTGGAGCAGGGGCTCCGGCCCGCTCCGGTCCTCAGCAGCACCTGGGGTTAAAATAGTTAAACCATGTTTACGGGGAGATGAGGGCGCTCTCGCTTCTCTCCGAGATTCTGTCTCCGGCGGCCACTGAAATGGACAGGTGGAGTCTGGCATGGGGAAATGGCTGCTCACAAACCCGACAGACGAGGGTCACAGCAGATGGTAATGACCACATGTCACAAAGCAGCAGCAGGTGTGCGCAGGTGTCACCGTGCCGGCTGCCGGCCCTGGCGCACACGAGCCCTCAGTTTCCTTGTCCCCGTCTGAGGTGTCTGTGTAAATCCTTCTCTCTTTTCCCCCTCAGCACTGAGAACTGAACCCAGAGCTTTTCCTCTGAGCTACATCCTTAGCTCCTCCTCCACTTTTTAATTTTACATTTTAAGACTCAGTCTCACTGAATTGCTAAGTTGCCCAGGCAGGCTGGAACTTGTGATCCTCCTGCCTCAGCATCCTAGAATAATGGATTTCAGGCTGTGTACCACCATGCCCAATTTCTGTAAAACTTACTGAAACAAGTTTTGAGCCAAACCCTCACATAAATTTATGACGTCAGAAATCTCAAGGAGTAAGCTTATTTCACTATGAAAAAAATAGGGGTACTATGTGAAAAGCCAGGCTAGAGATCTGGAGGCCACGAGGTCTGGGTCCCTCTGAGGGCATAGAGGGCAGCAAGGCTGAGACCCACCCTCCCGAGGTGCAGGGCCACGGGGCTATGACCACAGACACACCACACAGCTCAACCCGGGAAGCCACGTTGTGTTGGGACGCAGGGCTGGGCTTGCACTGTCACAAGTCAGAAACCCGGGGCAGAGCGTCCTGAGGTGGAGCCATCTGGGCAGTACCCGGGCAGCTCCACTGAGTAAAGCAGATTGCAGAGACCCAATCTCCAGATAATGGACTCGGAGGTGGCTCTCGGCCTCCCAGACTGGGCGAGGGATCCCTGGCCACACTATGAGAGGTGGCCCTACACCCAAACTGCCCCGTCCTGGCCTCGCCTATACTTGGATGTCTGCTGGGCTCCAAGGAAGCTCTGGGGTACCGGTACCTTTAAACCCACAGCAGAGGCCGGCCCCCACAGGGAAGACCAGTGGGAGTGGAGCTCAGTGGTAGAGTGCGTGACTAGAATGCACAAGGCCATGGGTTCAATCCTCAACACCATCAAAAGAAGAGCAAGGAAAAGAAAACAGTGGGCACAGTACCACTCTCCTGTCATTGGGGCACTCAGGAGGCTGAGGCAGGACAGTCACCATGAGTTCGAGAGCAGCCTGGGTTATACAGTGAGTTCAAAGCCAGCCTGAACTGCATAGCAAGACCCTGTCTCAAAAAAAACAAAAAATAAAACCAAGCAAGCCCTGAACATCCGTCTTCATGGCTGTAAACACTGACCTCCGGGCCTCTCCTCCCTTCTGCGGTGTTAACTGCAGCGGTCTTCCTCCCTGTCTGTCCCTAAGGCCTTGGGAGCTGGGGTTCCGGCTTGTTCCACCCCCAGCCCCACGTCTGGCACAGGGTCTGACCCTGCACAGCGAGAGACATGCTACCTGCCCAGGTGCTCGGTGATAGTCACCGTCAGCAGCATCTGTCTTAGTGACTTTTCTCATTGCTGAGACGAAGTACCCGACACCCAAGGTTAAATGGGGAGGGGTTTATTTTAGGCCAGTTTTCAGAGGGTTCAGTCCACAGTCGACTGGCTCCAAGCCCGGGATACCTGGCAGAGCAGACACAGTTCACGGCAGGCAGGAGGCAGCAAAGCAAGCGAGGGACAAGACAAGCCTCTTTCTGCCCCTTATATTGTATCCAGGCCACCGGGATTGGGGTGGTGCCACGCCCGTCAGGGGACTGATCCAGCAGTCACCCACTCTTAGTCCTAGCACTGCCCACGAATCAGTCACACACTCGAGATCCAGCCACCTCCGAAAAAGCCCCACCTACAACTGCAGGAGGCTTTGGGGGCCATCTAGACGCAAACTGGAACAGCGTCCCAGAGCCTGCCCCAGCTCTCTCTCACACCAGTGCCGCAGCTGATTTAACCATCCTGCACTTATTATGCACCTACTGTGAGCCACACAGGGGCAGGCACAGCAAGGGACAGCAAGCTGTGTGCCAGTGAGATGAGGACAGTGCCCAGGTCAGGCCGAGCCCGCACTCCCTCGGCGGCATCTGCTTTGTTTCCATCACCAGTGTTTGAGTCTTGACTTGGGAGAAGTCTCCAGAGCGGCAGGCTGGGGCTCCCCGGGCGGAACCTTCCTGGTCGGACCCCTCAGCTGGGTGCCAACCTCCAGGCAGAAGGGTGTGGGGAGCTCTTCACAGTGAGGCCGAGCCAGACAAGCTCAGGGTGATGTGGGTGTGTGTGTGTGTGTGTGCAACCTTAAACACGCTTCTCTTCCATCCGTTCCTCCAGAAATTCGAAGATGACATCACGTACTGGCTGAGCAGAGACCGCAACGGACACGACTACTACGGTGACTACTACCAGCGTCACTACGACGAGGATGCGGCCATCGGTCCCCGGAGCCCCGAAAGCTTCCGGCACGGGGCCAGCGTCAACTACGACGACTACTAAGGGCGCCCAGGGGCGCAGCCCTCGACGGGCCTCCCTCGCACGCCCTCCACCCCTCTGTGGGACCAAGCTAAAGCAAAGAACGTCAGCACCAGCGCCTGAACTTGCAGCTCATCTCAAGTGTAGAAATAAAGCATTTTCTTAAAGGCAATGTCCCAGAATTCATGTGGAGGAGACAGAAGCTGGTGGTTCTTGCCACCTTGCTGTTCTGAGGTTGAAGTACTGGCTGGAGCTCTCTCCCTGTGAGCACCCCAGGGCCCCCAACCGCCATGCAGCAGGCCGGGCAGGGCCCAGAGCGCGGTCTTCAGCGTGTTGAACGCAGATTGCACAGCTGGCGAGGTGGAAGCGGCTGAGGAAGGCGGCCTCTCCACGGGCACGCAGGGAGGGTGTCGTCGCCACCTGTCCGAAGGTCCCTGGAGTCCGGTGGGGGTGCGGCGGGGCCTGGTTAATGCTGTCACAGGAGCGAGGCATGACTGGAGTAACCCGGGCTCAGCTGACTTCAGCCCTCGCTCATCTAAATGTTACACAGCTTAGCTCCCGAGTTCCAGAAGGCCTGAGGAACCACTTGGCCTTGTAGGGAAGGGACCCCTGAGGGCCACGGCTCGGAGTCAGAAGGGGCAAAACAGCCTTCTGCTGTTTGCTTCAGGAAAACTCGAATCCATTTCACACCCCACCTGTGAAACCCATGTCACTCGCAGACCCTGGCACTCAACAGCCGGGGCACTGCAGGGAGCGGGCTCCGGGGACCGGCAGTCCCGGGGAGCCGTGAGTGTGCTCGGGGGCGTGGACAGTGCTCACAGTGTCTGCAGCCACCCAGACCAACTCCACGGCTTTTCTAACAAAGTGCCGTGCTCTAAGCACGAGCTCCACACTCCCCTGCCCGACTCCACCCGGGCTCTGTGATCCGACGCCGACCCCAGCCCTCGTCACGTGGTCCCACAACACCTGTCCTCCTGCAAGTGGTTCCTCCCGCTCTGTGGCACAGTCAGGCTCATCCTGCAGTAGCACAAGTCCCTTTCCTCCCTTTTCAGGGCAGAGTAGTATTCGTCAGCGTGTCTGCGCTGTGTTTTGCCCGTTTCTGTCCATGTGTCCGGGGGCACTCGTGGGTGGCTTCCCCTTGGCCAGTGGCAGGAATGGCGCTGCTATGTGTCTGGCCCAAGAGTTCCCTGTGCCCTTGTCTTCCATCCTCCTCGCGGCTGCCGGGTCCCGTGATCACTGTGTCCCTTGAGCTGCCACATGGCTTCCCACGCTTGTGCCGTGTACCACAGCTCGGCGGCGCTGCCTTGGACCAGGGGGCGCCCATGAGAGGGAGGCACAGGGGCGGCTGCTGTCCCCCTGTCCTCGGGGAGCACTCGATGCTTCCTTCAGCAACTGTTCTTGCTGAATGTTTTTTACAGATTTCACCAAAAAACAGAACCCATAGAAAAAAATTGTGTGGGCGCTGGCGTGGGTGCGCCTGTGTGGGCCGTTGCACGTGTGTTAACTAATGTGCACACATCTGCATAATGCCCTGGCTCACAGGACCAGAGGACGCGCCATTTCGTTCTGCTGGCTGCGGAGCCTGGGCGCCGGTCACGTGGTAAGGCCGCGGCGGGAGTCGGCCGCGCGGCCCTGTGCTAGGCGGGGGCCTGAGCCTTGGCGGCCACTGTGCAAGCCCAAGTCCCGAGGACAAAGCGCCCGAGGCCACGGCAGCGGAGGCACGGAGGCCCAGGGCGGGCGGGCGGGCGCTGCCCTTCCTGTCCCCCTGCCCTCCTCTCCACCCGGCCGTGCCTGCAGACAATGTCCCCGTGTCCAGGCGGGCTCCCCACCCCTACCAGAGCCTGCACCCCGGCCTGGAGATGCTGCACACACCCTGGAGTCAGGGTGACAGAGACACCACGGCACCCTTCTGCAAGCTAAGAAAAGCTCTTCCTACAACACACTAAGAAATTCTTACGTCATATCCGGGCCCTGAATTCTATGTTTTGTTGAGATAACTGTTCCTAATACGCTACTTGGTGAATTTTTAAAATGAGTATTCCAGTATTGATCACCTACATTAATTCATCACCCCCCACTGGAGTGGCCTTCGCTTGTTCACTCATGGGCCTGGCTGTGTTGCTACCCCGCAGCGGGCACTCTGGCTCGGTCCCGTGGGCCTGAGCGTCAAGGTGACTGCGCCCTCTGAATACGAGCTGGGTTGTTTCTCCGCAGCTTCTGCACCACTGCTGAGAATGGGGTCGTCCGCTTCTCGGATTCCTGGGACCATGTAGCGAAGCACCTGCATCTGGGGTTTTTACTGAGGGCCGCACTCTGAGTACAGTCTGCTGTTCACCGTCAACGGTAATGGTGATTCTGGGTTTCTCTTTCGGTCCGCTTTGCTGCCCTCTGCCTTCCCAGGGAGCCTTGCGCGACAGTAAGGTTCTGCCGCGGGGAGCCGCCCTTAGCACCCTCTCCTCTGCTACTCTGTGCCTGTGGCCTTTTCTTTCCCATTTTCGCCTTTAGAAAATGCAACAGCCGGGGACATAGCTCAGCGGCACAAGCGCCTGCCTGGCAAGCACAGGGTCCTGAGGTTGATTCCCGGTACCAAAAGAAAACAGGTGGCTTTCATCTCTTTTGTTAATTTTCTTTCTTCTACTTCTGTGAGTCTTGGATTTAACTACATCACAGCTCTTTTCTGAGCCTTATTACTTTTCTGAAGGCAAACACTTTGGGCTCCAAGTATTGTATCTCAGGAGTTTGACATGAAAAATTAGATGGCGAAATCTTGTCATTTTAGTCACAATTTCTCCTTTGGCCTCTGAGTTGATTATACAGATTATTGAATTTCCAAGAGGACGGCTACTGCTAATTAACGTCCTGGCTTTGTTTTCTAGCTTCAGTTTGCTGTGGGAAGCAGTGCTCGAGCAGACGCCAGGCTCCGGGTGCCTGGCGGCCAGGGGTGTCTGGGGTGTCCCCAACTCTTTCTCACGGCCTGGAAGCAGTGCCCGTCCCCAGGTGTCAGGTGCAGGTGCGTCGGCTCATCAAGCTCCATGGCTTGTTTCACTGCAAGCAGTTTCTACTCTTTTTCACTGAGGATCTTTTGGGGAGTGTTTTATCTAGAAATTACCAAGAAGTATGTTCACATGTCCTAATGCTGGGTGATGATGGTTTTGCTAGTTTCCCCTGAGCCTGGGCGGTCTGGGTCCACAGAGGACGTGGTTACACACAAACCCCCTCGGCGAGTTCGAGGACGACAGGATCGCTCGCGGCTCCTGCCTGCAGCAGACGTCAGCCCGACTCTCCTCAGAAACAGGCTGCTTCCCCGCACGCCGCCGAGCGAGCACTGTGGGGATCCCCTGTAGCAATTCGTGCACTGGACAGAAAGACGTGCGCATCCGGAGGCTGCGGCTGCGGGGACGCCAGGCCGGGAGGAACTGCGCAGGCCACAGGCACGTCATCGGAGGCGGGTGGGACTCCCGGAGGGGCTTTCAGGCCGGCGCCTGACACATCTGCTGGGGACCTGGGAGGTTCTTGGTGTGGGGCTCTGCCCGAGTGTGAAGGGAAACGGAGGCACAGCCCAAGCAAGCAGCAGTCAAACGCTCTACCCGAGCTACACTCCCCCAAGCAAGCAGCAGACAGAGCGGCCAGGGAGAGGCAAACGACAAGGGTGCAGTCCACAGAACCATGACATTCAGCACTCTCCCCGTCCTTCTGATTTCCAGTCCCTTTCTGTTGGGAAATTTTAGGAAGATAATGGGATGTGTGAGCACCCTCTCAGCCGAAGCCCGGCGGCTATGTCCGCGCAGCGGGGGAGGGCCTCGGGTGCCCGCGGGCTTGAGCTCAGCCTGGGGCTTCCACAGGAGACCCTGCTCCAGAAATAAAGAAAATAAAGCGAAGCTTGGCGCTAGGAGGGACACTGCCAACGACAGCTGGATCTCCCACCTGCCCTCGCTCGGGGAGGCGAGGGCTGAGCTTTGTGAGTAGCTGGATGCGACGCTGGCAGCTGGCCTGGGACTCAGCCTTGCCCTGCCTGGGAAGTCACCAGGAAACTGCCGCATGTCACCCTGGTGTCACATCAGTGACACCTGCGCCTCTCAGAGTGGGAAGATCAGGGGTTCACCCCCCGCCCCATTTTAATTTGCAACTTCAGTAGGTCTTCAGGCCATTAAAACAGAAATAAAGGGGGGCTGGGGATTTAGCTCAGCGGCAAAGTGCCTGCCTGGCAAGCGCAAGGTCGTGAGTTCGGTTCCCGGTACTGGAGAAAAACCAACAAAAA